TTATTTAATTATTATATTATTATATTATGTTATATTTATTAATTATATTATTTGAATATTATCCAGTATGTACTATGCATGTAGGATGCAGTGGCAAGTGATTTAGATTTATTTAAATAATAAGTGTTATTATTTATTAATTATATTATATTATATTATATTTATTGTATTATGTATTATTTAATTATTATATTATTATATTATGTTATATTTATTAATTATATTATTTGAATATTATCTAGTATGTACTATGCATGTAGGATGCAGGGGCAAGCGATTTAGATTTATTTAAATAATAAGTGTTATTATTTATTAATTATATTATATTATATTATATTTATTGTATTATGTATTATTTAATTATTATATTATTATATTATGTTATATTTATTAATTATATTATTTGAATATTATCTAGTATGTACTATGCATGTAGGATGCAATGGCAAGTAATTTGGATTTATTTAAATAATAAATATTATATTTATTAATTATATTATTTGAATATTATAATACCATGTGTGCATGTTAGGATGCAATGGCGAGTGATAGGATCAAATTTCTGTATTTATTTATTTTTATTAATTCGTGTTAGAGAATTAATTCGTGTGAAAGAGAATTCGCGAACGTGTGTTTCTGAAAGGGAGATGTAAGCAATAGTCATTGGAGGTTCCTGCTTGAAAAGTCAGGAAAACAACGGCTGAAGATCTCGTTTATTACCAGCAGTAAAATTCTGCAATCGAATAATCCTAACGGTTCGAGATTCGGGAAGGTTTGACGAGGGACTTAAGGATTTTGACCATGACCTTGAACAAACAAAGATCATAAATTACATCACCTTCCACGTGAATCCAACGGTTCTCGATTGTCAAAATATTTAGGCGTGTTTCCTGCTACGTTTATTTGTTTTTTTTTTTTTTTTTTACAAATATTCGAAACATCGAATATAAAATATCAAATATTTTGTATATACATATATATATATATTATACTGTTTCATCGTATAAATTTATATACACATTATAACAAATTGTTATTACTATTTAACAGATGATAAATTGGATATTAAATTATTCAATAGATCGGTAGAATAATATTAAGAAGGTATTTAAATAGCGAGCGAACGTTTATTATCCCTTTTACCGCTTCTTCCCTATTGTCTCGCTTAAAGATTAAATCCCCGAAATATTCGAAATATTCATTCGATACCTGCCCTTTGTGCCTTCCATTCATGAGATGATAAATTGCATACATTGTTTCGAGCATGGACATTCGGGCACAAAGGAGCAGCCGACAACGATGACACGTGGACGGCACAAAGCTGAGGACCGACAACGGGAACGTGCCCAGGATCTCGGCAAGGAACATGTGTGTCGCAGCCGGGGAGATATTTACTGTTATCGAAAAACTTTGGAAAATTTACGATGGTCGCGCGTCGAAAACACGACACTCGTTACGTTTCAAATATTTACCATTTTCCTCTTCAAAAATTTTCGTGCCTGTATCGTTTACGCGCACCACGTGTTCCAAAGTTTTCGAGGTTCGCACAATTCTTCCTCTAGTTCTTCCCCTCGTTCGACGAAACGATCCACGAGTTCGCCATTCTCTCAGCTCGATGAATAGAAGTCTTTTTGTACACAGCTTAAAGTAGGTAGGTGTCTGAAAATGTGAAATACGAGAGTATGTAACGAGAACTCGTTAAAATCGGACAAAATGATTTATTATTAGAATTGTTACTGCTCAATAAAACTGAAAATTACTTTTCGCGTTATATGAAGAATAAAGGAGAAACCTTCCAAGTTGTCAATTGAAACATAAGGAGAGGATTGAAGTGATCGAAGTCGACGAAGCGGTGTCCCAAGATGGAGGATGGAATCGATTCGTCCAACTCGACGAGTTTCGTTTTAAATGATTTTTCCAATGGAAAGGCAGGAGGCCGTGGAAAATGCAGTGTCTAAAAAATTGGTGAATCAGTTTTGGAAAAAAGTAAGCGTTCTCTGCACCCGAAAACGGTTCTTCAAGAAAAAAAGGTAAAGGAAGAAAGGGGCTTACCTTGCGAAACGCAGCGAGACTTCCGTATTATTGTCGGTGCAACGAACTCGAAAAAAAGGGTCTCCTCTTCCGGGATAGGGAAAAGCGAGGAGGAAGAAAAGGGCCGTGAATAATCGGTCGTCTCGCAACACGGTTCCCCTTTATGCATGCTTAAGTAGTACGAGTCTAAATATTGCGAGCCGCGATTCCCTACGGTCGACCCACCTGTGGTGTCTCCATGCAACGCCACCGAAAATATTTTGCCACGCGAGATTTGACACGCTTCCTCGGAGGCTAAGCTTCCGAAATGTAAATACCATTGTGACGAGGTCTCTAAGTCGGGTCTTCGAGTATACGTATACTTCTGAATTATTTTCTTATTATTCAGAGATATAACTTTCCTTCGATTATTATAGAAATTAGATTATTGCCACGCGAGATTTGCCACGCTTCCAAGATGTGAATACGATTGTGACGAGGTCTCTGAAATTTTGAAAATAATTTTATTACTCGGTTATTATTCAGAAATATAATTTTTGTTCAATTTATTATAGAAATTAGATATTATAGAAATTATTGCCATGTGACGAGGCCTCTGCAATTTTGATTTTAAACTTTACTTATTATTATTCAAAAATATAACTTTTGTTCAATACTTTATTATAGAAATTAGATATTATAGAAATTATTGCCATGTGACGAGGTCTCTGAAATTTTGAAAATAATTTTATTACTCGGTTATGATTCAGAAATATAATTTTTGTTCAATGTATTATAGAAATTAGATTATTGCCACGTCTCTGAAATTTTGATTTTAAACTTTACTTATTATTATTCAAAAATATAACTTTTGTTCAATAATTTATTATAGAAATTAGATATTATAGAAATTATTGCCATGTGACGAGGTCTCTGAAATTTTGATTTTAAACTTTACTTATTATTATTCAGAGATATAATTTTTGTTCAATAATTTATTATAGAAATTAGATTATTGGTATGTGAAATTCGATATGCTTCCAAGATGTGAATACGATTGTAATNGAGGTCTCTGAAATTTTGAAAATAATTTTATTACTCGGTTATTATTCAGAAATATAATTTTTGTTCAATTTATTATAGAAATTAGATTATTGCCACGTCTCTGAAATTTTGATTTTAAACTTTACTTATTATTATTCAGAGATATAATTTTTGTTCAATAATTTATTATAGAAATTAGATTATTGCTATGTGAAATTCGATATGCTTCCAAAATGTAAATACCATTGTGACGAGATCTCTGTCAGGTCTTTAAGTATACACACTCCTGAAATTTTGATTTTAATTTTTATTTTTGATTTTTAATTTTGATTTTTTATTTATTATTATTATATAACTTTCGTTCGATAATTTATTATAGAAATTAAATTATTATCACGTGACGACGTCTCTGAAATTTTGATTTTAAACTTTACTTATTATTATTCAAAAATATAACTTTTGTTCAATAATAATGTTATTATAGAAATTAGATTATTGCCACGTCTTTGAAATTTTGATTTTAAACTTTACTTATTATTATTCAAAAATATAACTTTTGTTCAATAATAATGTTATTATAGAAATTAGATTATTGCCACGTCTTTGAAATTTTGATTTTAAACTTTACTCGATTATTATTTAGAGATATAATTTTCCTTCGATGATTTATTATAGAAATTAGATTATTGCTATGTGAAATTCGATATGCTTCCAAGATGTAAATACGATTGTGACGAGGTCTCTGAAATTTTGATTTTAAATTTTACTTATTATTATTCAAAAATATAACTTTTGTTCAATAATTTATTATAGAAATTAGATTATTTCCACGTGACGAGGTCTCTGAAATTTTGATTTTAAACTTTACTTATTATTATTCAGAGATATAATTTTCGATAATTTAGTATAGAAATTGGATTATTAGAAATTATGGATATATATACATAGACGAAGTCAAACTTAACGCAAAGAGGTTACCTTTGCTTATTGTGATTTTTAGTTCATGCATTTTGCATGAGGCGCATTTTTTCACTGAAAACACGCAGCGTCACCTGATTGCGGCATTCAAGCCGCGAAGAAAGTCGGCGGTGAACGATGGACCATCTATCGTTACCGGGAGATATCAAAAATTTACGACGCCAGGAAAGTAGGTTCGCATACATAAAACAACGTGTACGAGAAGTCAAGTGTGAATTGTGCGTTTGAAGTGGTTACATACTTACATTGTATTCCGTGAACGTGGAGGATGTAAAGATTCAATTTGTAGAGGAATAGAATAAAAAGTGTGCGAATCTTAACACGCGGTTGAAAAGTAGTAGTCCTAGAAATAATCGTTACCTTACTCTTATTCGTTTGATAGAAACGAAAAAAAGAAC